ACAATTATTTTTTTTTTTTTTTAGTTAAATTACTGATTTCAGAGAGATAACTCAGATAATAAAAACGAGGACAATGTTTTTGAGCAAGTACTCTGTATCAGTTACTTTAACTGTTTTATCCACTTATTTAATTCTCATAACAATCTAGAAGATCTTTTTTTTGTCAGTTGAAGTCTCACTTTGTTTCCCAGACTGGAGTGCAGTGGCACGCCCACAGCCACAGCAGCCTTGACCTACTGGGCTTAGGTGATCCTTCCACCTTAGCCTTCCAAGTACCTGGAACTATAGGCATGTGCCATCATGCCCGGCTAATTTTTCGATTTATTGTAGAGACGAAGTCTCACCAAGCCTGGGATTACACGCATGAGCCACCGCTCTCGGCTAAGATGATACTTTTACTAACTCCATCTTATTAATCAGGAAACAGCAGCAAAGTAACTTGCTTCAATATGAAAACTTGAGACCCAGAGAAGGTACAGATTTTCAAAAGGTCATTCAATGTTTAATGGAAGATCCTAGACTTTATTCAGATAATTCATTCAGTAATATTAATATGAACAAAATGTTTTTTTTGTTTGTTTGTTTTGTTTTTTGAGTTGGAGTCTCACTCTTGTCACCCAGGCTAGAGTGTAGTAGCACGCTCTCGATCACCGCAACCTCGACCTGCTGGGCTCAGGTGATCCTTCCGCCTCAGCCTTCCCAGTAGTTGAAACTATAGGCGTGAGCCACCACACCTGGCTAATTTTTTTATTTATTATAGAGACGAGGTCTCACCAAGTTGCTCAGGCAGTTATCCCTCCTTGGCTTTCCAAAGTGCTGAGATTAGAGGCTGGAGCCACCAGGCCCAGCCCAGAATGGAGTTATTAATTTTTACTCCCTGAGATATTTTTCTTCAGTTTGTCCCACCTCTGTGAGTGACACTGTCATCAGTTGCTTGAGCCACACATTTAGGAGGCAGTCTCTAATGTTTACTTTACTCCCACAGCCAGTCTAGCTCTAAATTCTGTTGATTTTATTATTATTTTTCGAGTCAGAGTTTTGCTCTGTCACCCAGACTCCAGTGCAGTGACATGATCACCCCTCAGTATAGCCTTGACCTCCTGGGCACAAGCTGTCCTTCCACCTCAGACTCCCAAGTAGCTGGGACTACAAGCACACACTACCATACCCATCTAATTATTATTATTATTATTATGTTTTTGTAGAGATGAGGTCTTACCATGTTGCCCAGGCTGGTCTCAAACTCCTGGGCTCGAGCAATCCTCCCTCTTCGATCTCAAAAATATATTTTAAATATGTATTTTCTCCCTCTATAGTATCATATTCTGGTTTATAATCTTTTTCTGACTTACTTTAGTAACCTTCTACTTAGTATATTGCTTCCACTTTTGATCTTTCTCTTCTCACACAATAGCCATAACCAGTCATCGTTTTCAAAAACTATTTTAAAAAAACACCACCAGCCGGGCTCGGTGGCTCAGCCTGTAATCCCGTGCCTTTGGGAGCTG